TTGGATTTGTGAAAGTAACCGTCAGACACAGTACTTTAGGGTGGACAGTGTTACCTACCAAGTTAAAAAACAAAGAGAGGGAGAAACTGATTTTTGAACAGTCTAATGCTTATCTAAACCAGATGAAGAATTCAGTTATTTCAAACTGCTGGGAGGGTGGTGTTAGAAAACAAATACTTTTGAGGAAGCTTAAAAATACATACTTGTGAGTATTTTTTCTTTTTAAGCACTAATAAGTCCATGATGCTGGGGTGAACTTCCCATCAAAATAACACATACTTTCAAAAAACTTACTTTAAACAYAGCATTTTCCTTAGCCCTGTGAGGAGAGCAGTTATCTACAGTTCCCCAGGGAATTTCGTCAGAGGGAACAGTTTCTGTAACTTGGCAGAAGCAAATAAGGGAGTGACACAGTTGTCCCATAAGGCTGGAGAGCAGGAAACCCCCCGTGGGGAGGGTGAGTCGGTGACCTCGGGGTATGGGGGAGCTCTGAGCTGCTCGTGTGGGCACGAAGGCTTGGCCTCAGCCTCCAGRCAGAGCTGCAGCTCCCCACGGGTTCAGCAACAACAACTCGAGAAATAACTAAAATTTGCTCTCATTACATCTCTGTTTTTATTTAGGTTTCTGGTTTTCCCTTGGGTCCTGTTTCATCCTAAGGAAAAGTGACTTTGTTTTATAGGACCCCTGTTAGAAATCCTCTTTTGTGGTTTCCATCATGTCTTCCCTCTGYAGCAGCTTAGCTCTGCTTAGGAAGGCAAGAGTTAAGGGTGATGTTTTTTTCCTGGCAGTCTGACCATCCCGTCACGTTCCAGGAGCCACATGACAGGATGGCACAAATGAGAAACATCCCGCCCACGCAGAGGATGATGTCTGCCCCAACTCTCTCATCCCTTGACATTTTCACTGGATCTGACAAATAACTTTTTTTTTTTTTTCATGTGAAAGGGAGCTCAACAGCTAGAGAGTGGAAAAGAATGAGAACCATTTAAATAGAAAGCAGAAAAAACAGACAGAAAATATACTCTCCCAATAGGTAATGATAATTCTCCTATTAAATTACCCCAAAACTTCAAGTTAACTTCCATTAAAAAGGTACATCTGCCACTTCTCTCAACAAGCAAACCAGCAAGCACCATGGTAACTGTGAGCTTCATCCCTTAATTTTATCCGTTCTGCAAGCAGCTGCCAAAATAAATTTTTCCCAAGTTGCCTGAAAGATTAGAGTAGTCATGTTCTTACAGACCAAAKTTTCACATTAATCAAATTATTTTAAGTAATTCAATTAATTAAAATCAATTATTAATTAAATAGGCAGAAGTTTTTTTTCCTCCAGRCAGTTTGTTTACTACTGTAATTTTAGTGATGTGGGAGCTCTGATCACACATCCCCACCGTGCAGCTCTACCGCACCTTTGCATTTGTGAGGAGACGTCACGGCATTTGTTCCTTTTAAATTGATTTGGGGGGGCTGTGTGATGCCAGGGATTATGGAATACCACCGGTCTGCTATCTGCACCAAAACAAAGGCGCTGGTTTGTGGAAAGGACAGATGCAGAAATACCATCCGCCATCTCACTAGCTCACCCACAGGACGGGTGCCGGTCACTTTTTCTGTGCTGGACACCTGCTGGCTTTACTCAGATCGCCCGTCACCAGATGTGCTGTTCCTGTGTCCCTCCATGTGCCTCTGACAGTATTCCTGAGAGGCACATTTGTTGCTGGATTATCAGGGGGAGGTCCTGCTATCTGACACCCACCCCGCTGGGAGCCTGCAGCTCTGCCCTGTCCCTCAGCTTTCCATGAAAATGCTTTTTTTTCCCCTCCTACAAAGAGAAAAACACACTTAGAAGAGTTCTGTCTTGGGTCTTCCTCACCTTTAGACCAAAAAACATGCTCTTGCTCGAGCACCAGTGCACTCAAGCCAAGATTCTCMAAAAAAACATGGTTTTCTGTCCATTGTCACCAGTTTTCCATGGGTTCCTAAAGGACAAGGCCCCACTGGGAGGAATACTCTTATGTGCTGTAGAATGAAATTATATCTGAGCACTCTCTCATGATAAATGACAAATCTACTTTTCAAACTTAGGGAGAGGAATTCCCCAGTAAGAGGTTTGGTCCCACCCTACATCTGGATTTTGCTTTGTCTGTGTCTCTGCTGTCTGTGCATTGTGTTGGGTCTTTATGTGGAAGAAAAACCACCCTTTTATTAAAAATAGCTTCCAATCAGTGATGAAGTGTATCTCTTTTCTACCTATGAAGAAGTTAAAAAAGGGAGAAGAGTTATTTCCTGATGGCTGCCCAAAGACTGATAGAAGAGGAGCACCTGTGGAATGGACAGCAGTGTGTGGCAAGAGCRTGGCCTTCAGATTGACACTAGAAATATCTCAGAAGGGATTCTTCCAATAAAATTTGCAGATAATGATCTTTGCCTTCAAACTCCGATGTTCTTGTTGACAATTTTTTGTAGCTGCCTTCCTGCCAGAAACTTGCAGCTGTTGTCTCTCCTGCTGCTGCAGTGAAGAAAAATCTCTGACCCTCTCACTAGCTCCTYGATTTTAGATATTTTAGAAATTGCTCTGGCTGCCTTCAGCTGTGGAGCAAGGCACCTCCCTCCCTCAAAGACAGTGAGGGTACTTCTAAATTGTGCCCCTGACATTTTTCACCACTTCCTTTTYTTTGGGCTGCCCGTCCATTATTTGACAGAGAAATTAGGAAACCAGTCCTCACCATCACAAGTTGCAGCTGCCTTGAACAGAAGCCATAGTTTCTCTCAAATATCAAGGATGAGCTCTTGGACCATAATRAGAAAGTGTCATTAGCTTTAATTAAGATTTCCCCAGGCTCTCAGGGTCTTCTTCCTTCTTTAGTTTGGGCCATTAAATATCCAATTTTCACTGACACCTGGGAAGTACACCTGTATATAAATAGGGTTTAATGCTGAGGGGCTGTATTGGAAAATTCCTTGTGTGTTAAGATAAATTGTACAGCAAATACATGTTCTTTGTGAAAGAAAAATACATTAAAGTTTGGATAATCTTTTATCAGASTAATGGAAACATAATAAGCTGGAAAACAGCACTTAACTCCAATAATAAGAGAAGAGAGTAAGAAATAATTGGTAATTCTTCTTTTCCCCTTCAAGTGCTAAAACAAATGGGCTCTTTGCTGATCTGACTTGGATGGATCATTGTGTCTCAAAAATGTAACGTAGGGTGTGTAAATACTCTGCTAGCAAGGGCAGGGGCAGCRTCTCTTGAGAATTCTTCGCTTCGTTCATGCAATTACGAATGCTGGGGGAATGCAGATTTGGATGTGAGGCCCCCAGCATAAAGCACTGGGCATTAAATGCACGAGCATTTCTGCAGAGCAGCTTAGCTGAAGTTTATCATGACCATTCAGCTATTGCCTAGCAACTTGTGGAGGCCATCAAAGAGCTCTTTGTCCATAGCTCTGGCAAAAACATTTTCTCGCAGATATCCTTATCAGTATCAGAACCAACATGAAAACTTAATAAAAAAAATTTAATTGTCTAAGAGATTAATACTTGCATGAAACTGTGGCAGTCATAAACCAGTTGGTAACATTGTTGTAAAACCTGAGTCTAAATCTTGCTTTGTAAGTTCTAGTCAAAATACTTCTTTTTCCTGAATAATTTTTGGCTTTTCTGTCAAAGCATAGCTTTCTTTGCTGAAATTTCATATAAAGCATCTGGAAATCACTCTAAAAATTCATTTTTTAAAAATTTTGTTTTAATACTTTTAATATTTCTTACTTGCTCTTTCTCAAAAATACCCATTTGATTTTTACAGCTGTAAGATACAAAATTCAACTTGTTATTTTTACAAACTTACCTAAGCATGAATGAGTGAGACTGCAAACTGCTTTAATAAGTAGAGATGCAATAAATCAGTGAATGATTTCTGCCTTGCTATGTTCATTCTTGACATATACAGGAGCAAAACTGATTTTGCTTATAGTTAATAGTGAATATTAGTGTGAATAGTGAATATTATAATGAAGCGGAATTGTATTCAGTCTTCTTGCAGCATGTTATGTTGTCACCGGTGTTACTCAGTGATGTTTACTGTACACTGTTTTATTTGCTAAGTCGAGTGATGCCGTTCTTTGCCTCCTCATGAGGGGTGAAAGTGGGAAAGGGAAGGCAGGTTTTCTCAGTTTCCCTGGGGGATAATTTTCCCTGATGTGTACTGAAGAAGCCTTTTTCCCCATTTTTTCATTTTTAGCATTAGTTGCTGTCTGTTTCAAGCCCCGTGGCTCCGTGCAGTGTGGGCCCCATTGTCCTCCCCATCGCAGTGCCCGCAGCACCCTTGGACACTGGGCTGTCATAAAGCATCCTCTGTGCACAGATCAGGGCAGCATAATTGAGCCTGGTGTTATTGTATGTCACTGGGCTACATAATCTCAGATAATGCACTTTGGTAGCTCTTGGCAACCATGGGCTCGTTAATAGTGAYCATTATACACTGGAACCCAGTGAGGCTGTGAAAAATGTCCTTCCTCCAGYAGGGTGCACTGGGCGCAGTTGTGAGTGTGATGTGGCAGATAACTCTGGCGTGGGCATGGCTCTGAGGTGCTCTGCCTGTGCTTACACAGACTCATAAACCCGAATTCTTAAATTTGGGAATCCCAGGCAAAGCAGCAGGAGAAAGAAGTGGTCTTGTTTCTGAAAAAAAAAAAAAAAGAAGAAAAAAAAAACAAGCAAGCAGTGATGTCACACTGCTCACATGCACCAGCATCCCTCAAAATCAAGGCACTCTTTTTACTCTGTTTGTCCATAAATGGGGAGTTAATGAAAAAGTTGAACCGGGCTGCTGAGAAACAAGTCAGTACTGCCTTTCAGATGTGGATGGGGACAGCAGAATGCCATTGTCTAGGCAGGCAGAAAGTGGAAAAGGAGTGATGTAAGCAGCCTTCCATTTTTTGGCAATAGAATTGTTTTAGGTCAGTACTAATGGTCATTGTGCAATCAGGGCTTTGAGGTGGCCTGTGCACTGTCTGTCWGTATCTGTATTTTTAAAGTCAAGTGTTTTTCTGCCTTGCTGGCACAGGTTGGTGCAATCTGTTGAAACACGTATTTGATTCTTCAGCCTGTTGATTGTCCTGCAGAGAGAAAAACAGTTCAAGAGTCTGGAAATCCACATTTCCTCTAATTAGAGAGTTGGTCTTTGGGTAGGGGCACCATTGCAAAGTTTTGCTGGCAGCGTTGAGGAGTCGCCTCTGTGTCTGATCTGTCACCAAACTTTGTAATTATTTCTCAGGATTTTTAATAACAGGAGGTTTTGGTGTTGAGAGTTAAAAGTGTTTTATTTCCCCTTTATCACACATAAAACTGTTTTGGTTTTTTTTAGGACTCTGGCAGCCAGCAAACCTGTGGCATATTTTGCTGGGAATACTTACAAAGCAAGACATGCTTGTGGTTGGATCCAGTCCACTTTTCCCTCAGTGGAGGGTTCATTCAGGAGAGGCATTACAATGAAACTTGATTGTTAATGCAAAGCGCTGCAGACACAATACGGTCTGAGCCCCATGGTGGTGCCTGCTGGCATTTAACATGCACAGCACTTCTTAAAAAGCAGGAAAATKATATTTAATGTTGCTGCATTGTGGGGGGAAAAATGACAAGTGAACAAACAACAGAAGCCAGCAAACAAACCGTGACTGGATGATTTATAGTGACTGGTTTGTTTTATGATCTGTATGCACAGATTCAGATTGTGGCCATTTTAGAATCAATTTTATACCAAAACCAGTTAAACAAAGCACTGACTGACCAGCATCCTTAACACTGTGGCAGCTAAGCATTTTGGAATGCTCACATGGTGTGTTCGGAAACCCTTTGTGTGCACTGCATTTTTCTGTTCAGTGCGAGGCCCAGCAGCAATCAGCTCACCACTAATTAGAAAGCGTTCAACGTCCSGCGCCCCATTATTATACAAAATTATGTCAGACACGAAGAATTCTCAGAAGGAAAAGTTCCTGCAATTCTTTTTGTCRTGCGCTTCCCAAACATAAAATCTGAAACTAAGCTTGTGCTGTTTTGAAACAGCCATGGTGGAGGAAGCAGTAGCCATTTATGTACATCTCATCAAAACTGGAACACGAGGGAAATTCACTATTCTCATTATTCTGGGGGAAGATGCAAGTTTATCTTGTTGCACTTTCCCAATGTGATGTTTTCACAAAAAGGTTGTGTGAGCTATGTTTATAAGTTCAGTCGTCTTGGGAAGCAAAGGTTTAACCCAACTGTGCACAAAAACTCTTCATAGATGTTTTGTTTGTGGCTGCAGGTATCCACTGTGACAGTGTCTGTGCCGAGGGACAGTGGGGTCCCAATTGCTCCTTGCCCTGTTACTGCAAAAATGGAGCATCCTGCTCTCCAGACGATGGGATCTGTGAGTGTGCACCAGGATACAGAGGCACCACTTGCCAGAGAAGTAAGGACCACATATATGCTTTAAAAACCTCTGATTGTACCTCTGCTGCTTGGACTTCTCATGATAYATCACAATGCTTTGCTAATTGTACGGTGAAATTTTGGGAAACACTCCTTGATTGCACATTTTGTCAAAATGCATGAATATATAGGAAAAAAATAAGGGCTATCTGAAATGAACCAGTGTTTCCATCTCATAGAGCTGTTCTTGTTATGGTACAGCTTTACTTCTATTTGCTGTCTGTGCTGTGGCATTGTTATAAACGTGACTTTCTAGGAAATGTAGCAGGGGATTCCATCCCAAAGCACTTCCAAACATGACTGATGAAGGTTAATTTTGTAATACAGGTGAACAAAAYGTACATGCGTTTCAGAAACTGAAAAACTTCCAGTTGAGTCTGCTAGGAATCACRGGCTTGGTTTATATTTGGTTTTTAACAATTGTTTTGTAACACARAAGGGAAGCAGGGAAGCAGTCAGTGGATGCAGGCCTCACAGTAAGTAGAGGATGTCAAATGTACCCGTAGTTCCTTTTGGAAAACTTGTCTCTATAAAATTCAAATTGCAGGAAGAGAAATACAGCTGAACTGAGGCAAATCATTCCAGATTCAGGGAGGTAAATAACGCCTTCCTTCCCAAAATTTGTCACAGTTTGCCAGCAGCCCAGCTACCTTCAGTTTGAATCATTGAAGCTGTGAAGGAAAGGTGCTCAGGGAAGAGAAGTGGGAGCTGTGTGAGGCTGGAGGGGAGCYCAGTTTGCAGAGCACATCTCCTGAAAACGTGATCCAGGAGCAGGTGGATTAAGGACACATGAAGATGCTCCTGGGCCTTCCAAAAGAGGCTCAAAAGACAGGAGATTACCTGAARTGGTCACTTGGAGGGAGAGGGAGAACCAGAGGAAGGTGAAGTTCCACCAGTCAGTTTCAAGCTGAAGGCTGTGACATGGCCTGGCTAAATCCCACATTGGTGTGGCATTGGCATTCCCAGAGCATTTCTGACTGTGGCCAGCAATTATTGTCACTATCTCATCTTAGAGGGCCCTACAGGGAACGCAGAGGCAGAGCAAGTGTAACTCAGCCACGGAAAAACCTTCCCTCGGGTTTTGGACCTGCGCCCATAACCTGCACAAGAGGCTTCCAGTCCAGTGCCTCTCTGAGGCACTGTCTGCAGGCTGGGAAGACAAAGGTCATCCAAATAATTTGGATCCTGCTCAGAAAGTGCCTTTTCAGTAAACAGGAAGACCTTTTGGCACCATTTCACTTGGAAAAGTTAATCTCTCCGGAGAGATCTGGCCGTATAGCTTGTATCAAGTGTGTAATTAAAAGACTGAGTCTTGAATGAAATTAAAGTATTGAGAAGATTCCAGCGTGGTTTTGTCAGTGCTAACTGCAGCTGGGCAGGTATTTCTCTTGATCTATTAGCTAATATTCTAATTTATCAGGAAATAAATGCCAAAAAGGGATTAGATGAACAAAGAAGGAGGTTTTATGCAACAGCCTCCTTTTTTTCCCCCTTTTTTYYCCTTTTTCTTTTTGAGAAACTCATGCTTTCAGCATCAGTATTAACTGGACAAATCTGTATTTCTGCTCTTAGGTTCTCTGGAAGTTAGGGTGACTGTACCACATAAAAGAAAGGTTGCCTGGAAAACATCTGTGCTTTTTGTCCAGTGAAGTAACAGCTATTTGAATTCCAAGTTAGGAAACACAGCAGGAATCAAGGTCTAGGATGACCTTACCCATCTAGAGAAAAAACTGTTCTCCCTGTGCTTCAGATGTGCTTCAGAAGATGTCCTTGTTTAGCCAAATAAAGTATGTATGCCTTCCAGACATTATCTGAGTTCAGGGTGGCTTGACATGTAATGGAATGTCAACAAATGAGCCAGAGTACACCGAATCCTTGAGGAGAAGGAGAAGATCTTGTTTTGGGGGTGTAAAATCACCGAGCTGTACAAATAACAATGACCATGCTGCAGCTGCTATGGGCTTGGAAAGCAGGGCCAGTGTCCAGCCAGGAGTAAGKGCCCTGCAGGGCAGTGACAGCGTGTGACAGTGTGTCCTCTCTGGTTRTAGTCTGCTCACCGGGCTTCTACGGACACCGCTGCAGCCAGACCTGCCCGCAGTGCGTGCACAGCAGCGGCCCCTGCCACCACATCACCGGCCTGTGTGACTGCCTGCCTGGCTTCACCGGAGCCCTCTGCAATGAAGGTAAACTCCACAGGCTGCACACACCCAGTGCTGTGATCATTTCCGTTCCATCACCTGGGAGCTGTAAAGCCAAAGATRTTTTCTGTCAGGGAATGTTCAGTTTATAAATCACAAAGCTTCATSCGTTTAAAGGTTTGATCCTTAAGTATAAACCCTCTGCACTCTCAAATTTGTGTAGTGACTGTGGGTTTTGTGCTCACCAGAATTTATAATGCCTGAGTGTAACATTACACTGAGCAAAAACCTCTCTTGATCCAAATATTGGTCGTTTTCTCCTGAAATGAAGAAAATAAAATCTTCTTGTGCTTGCTAAGGAGTTCTGTTTCTGGCAATGTCTCTTTTTCAGTATGTCCCAGTGGCAGATTTGGGAAGAACTGTGCTGGAATATGCACCTGCACCAATAATGGGACTTGTAATCCTATTGATAGATCCTGCCAGTGTTACCCTGGATGGATTGGCAGTGACTGCTCTCAACGTAAGTATCACCTTTCTATTTCCCTCTCTTTAATTTTGGAACAAATAATCAAGATGCAGCTATTTAAATTACCTTTTTTTTTTTTTTTTTTTTTTTTTAAAGAAAATTAAGTAGGCACTGTCTTGGCTGTTCTGAA